TCTAATTGAAATAAAAGAGTCATTTTATATATAATTTCTCATCGTTCTTGGCAGTGATAAAATATTCCAATGCCGCAACTGCAACGCATTAAGATCAAAGGTCTGAATTAAAAGAAAAGATGCCCTACTATATTCATGATTTTATCTAAACGGACTAACACTATCGTTAATTTAAAACATCACAATTAAAATCTGAAAAAAATTAGATAAAATTCGATTGATGATTTAAATAATGACTTTATTCCCTTTATCTCAATAAATGACAAAATGTGCAATAGTGGTAAGTATGATATAAAGAACAATTTTTCTGTAACCAATACTAAAATACATTAAGTAAATAGTTTTCCTTGTAATTAGAATAAAATAATACTCAAGAATGGTAAATAATAATAGTGATAATTTTAAATCATATTTTTAATTCCAAAAATTGTTAAAGTTTTTAGTAAAATTAATAAATTATTATTATTTGTTAATGTTTATTGATGACTTGTAATAAAGAGAAATGCACAAAAATTATTTTTGTTATGCAATTGGTAATATATAAAATTTCATAAAAAACTGATATATCAATTTTTATACACTCTGAATACTTTATAATCTGCTTCTTTATCCGCAATTATCTTATACCAGATACTATGAGAAGTGCAGATTGTATTGATCTTATCTATTATGCAATTGGGTATTTTGCGTAACTATTGTACTCAATATGAGAATTTATATTCGCAAGAGATGGTTTTTCGCATATTAATTCCTAAAATAAAAAATTCAATATTTACTTGCGTTGTAAGCAGAAGGATACCCTGTGGAACTAAGTCTATTTCGAAAATGTTTACTTGTGTTAGAGAGGAACGAGAAAGTAAAGACAAGAGGCAAAGAGCGAGAGGATGAGGAGGCACGGGGAAGAGGGTGAATGCATCCAACTCCGCTTGTAATGAACTTGTGAATATTTAGTGGGGTAATTGCCCTTCGTAGCGAGTCTCGCTTGCGTCTACCGCTGTAAGGGGTGTCCGCCAAATCCGGAAGCAAAACCAATATCAGTCGGCCACCTGTGCTCTCAGCTTGCACTTCGTCATATATACGTTACGTGTGCACATCGGTTCCACATATATCGATAATTTGATTTCCTCGGGGACACCGTAGGACGACTGCCAGCCGTTCAGCCGACTCTACTCTTTTTCATTCCGTAATATGCCAAACAAAAAGATATCTGCACTTCTCATAAGGCTTCAGTGACATTACTGTGTAGAAACACACCAAATTTTCATAACCTTATTACACAGAGATTTGTAAGAGGGTTCGATGAAATATCTGTATTTTAGCAAGACAATTTTTTAAATAAATAGAACCGAAAAGTAACGAAAATTTATTATAATACGCGCTAGAGGTTATTTCGTATAGAACGTGACAATACGGTAGAATTTCTTGCTATTTCCGTAAAATTGGATCTTTTAAAAAACAATATTTTTGACAAGTTTATTTTACTAAAGAATTCTGGAAAAACGGTCCCGTCACGGAAATTGCCTAAAAATTCTATCTACAAAACTCATATCTCAAAACTCATCGGAAACGATCGCTTATCTTAATAGTTTCGAGCTGGTGTAAATCGCTACGAGAGAAACATTGTCAGAAAGTTAAGAAAGATAGCTATAAACTTTCCTATTTATGCCATTTGCACAAACATACTATAAATATACAATCTAAACATAAATTGTGCTGTTAAAGTGTTATTTTATTTGAGCAAACCTGTGACGTGTGTGTTAAATTCTCATATTGCTTTTAGTACATTCTTCTTTCAAAATATGTTACTTCGCAAAAATCTAGATTTATGGTATCGTTTCTTAACTTCTCTATGCTTCGTAAATTCTAGACGCATATACTATAAATAAAATGCGAATACAATCTTAACGGCACAAGTGTGCATTATGTATTCTGATAACCGATTACTTCATGTTTCGTGCCAAATTGCTTCGGGCATATTGCAGAAAATATGATTTGTTATTATTTATCGAAAGGACTACGTCGCAGTTCTATAATTTTGATCATCAGTATTATACAAAAATAATGGTTACGATTTTAAATTTTCTATTACTTAATCGTAATCTCTAATTTATTGCTTTCAATATTAGAAAACACGATAAAAAAAGTAGTGATTGAACATCAGCAATTGAAAAGCGATAATTCTATTGAATAAAAAATGCCAGTAACTCGTGTAATAAATGTACAAGTCCAAAGAGAGACATGCAACAAGACTGTAATCTGCCGACGAAGCCTAAGCTTACTGCACGTCTCGTGTAAAATAGGCTTCCGCGTTCTTTGCACGCCATCTGAACGTTTTATAATCACTGCTTCTCTCTTTCTCTTTCGTTATCCCTCTTTACTTTTGCATTCTCTATCTTCCTTACTTAGAAAAATGTCTGGCTATTAATTCACCCTCGCCTCCTGCCGCGCATAACGCCTTGACGGAACGTACCACCTGGTAAAACAAGCTACATAAATTAAATGGTGGATTATGTATCCGAAATTTTCTTTATTTTCCGAACACAACGGAGAAGAACGGCGCAAATGAGTAAAGGTTAAATGCAGTTCGTGTTAAAATACAAAGTTGTAATTATAAACTACGTCTGCATTTTGCGAGAAAGATAAATACGATTTTATGAGAATTTATATTTAGCAGCTTTTTAAAAATAATAATGTAATGACAAAGGAATGATGAAGGAAGCGTTTTAAAATTATATTATACAGTAATAATTCATTTTTCTTCTAATTTTTCAATTAATAATTCTTTCATTTAGATAAACCAATAATTGATAATCACAAAAGTACTATATTTGTAGATATTTATTATACATTTGTCAACACGATTAAAAAATATTATCTTGGCAATTATAGGTTTTTTCGCCTCGGTAAAATTAACAAATGATAACGCTCCCAGATCGATCACCGATATACATCTATCTCGCGGCGCATCTTATGACAACGACGGCAACCAATCGGTTTCCAATTTGATACAGAATAGAATCCATTAACGGCGTCCTCCACTGATGCTCCCACCGACCGGATACATTTCGGTGAGTGTCAAGGTGGGAAATGGCAGAAGTAAAGCGAGAAGCCGGTACGGAAGTGACGGAAGAAAAAAGGTATTGCAGGCGAGAGAGCGCGACGAGGGTGTAAGAGAGAGAGAGAGAGAGAGAGAGAAACGAGGGATGAAAAGGAACATACGAGATGCGCGTAAGCGAGCTGGCTGGCAGCCGGTAGCTGACTCGTACCGATAAGAAGTCTCGATCCGCGTTCGCTCCCGCAGTTCTCTGTCCGACGCGACGCTTCGTTCGTACCTTTCCTTTCACGCGCTTCTTTCTCCAGTTCTTCTTTTTGTAAGGAGAATACGACATTAACTGACGGACGAAGAGCGACGTCTGCGCGACATGATCTAGCACGGAGAGCAATACCGGCGTAAGCGATGAAGGCGACAAACCCTATCTGAGTATTGAGCTCAAAATGAAATAGGGTATTTACAGTGGAGTGCAAAAGTTTTCGGCCAGTGGCATTCTTGTACTCTAATTTATAAAAAAAAGTCTAATAAAATTTCATAATTATTATCAATTGTTAGTACACAATTTCATTATCCATCTTGTACTAACACCCGATGACAATTAAAACTTTATCAGGTTTTTTTTAATAATAATAATAAATTAGAGTATAAAAAACGTCATTGGCCAAAAATGTTTACACACCACTGTTACTGTTCAATGATAAAAATCTTTCCTAGGATCTGTCCTCTCTCATTCTTTTTCCTTTAGCTTCAGTTTATCATTTTTTATTTCTACTTACATTTGAATTATTTCAAGAATTATAGCGTGTGACATTTACTTAATTTATATGCCTATTACTGATACAATATAAATTTTTATAACAAAAATATTATAAACATTAATAAATACTATTTTAACAATTAATAAATACGATTTTATGTTTTACGATATAGATTTAGACTAGCTATGCACATACGTGAACAATTCATGTAAAACGTAAAGAATAGAAATGTAGAAATGATATACGTTTTACGGATGTGCGCAAAGTAAAATACGTGTTACGTTTTTAAGTCAAGACAAGCGGAAAAAGCAATATTTAAAGGTTAAAAAAAAACGTATATAATTTAAGATACTTATTCTTCTAATGATCATTGTTGCACAGAAGATTTGTTCTAAATGTAGCAATTCCGGAAAAGTGTGATTAAGTTGTAAATTTTTCATGGCTGACCTATTCTCATTTATATGAGCGCAATTACTATTCTAAGTTTATTCGCTGCTGCCCGTTACATTTTCTGCACTTACATACCAGTGCCAGTTTGATAATACAAACTACCTATTAAACTGTTGATGTTAAAATGCAGCGAAATGTTCGCGTAACGTGAAGATTTCCATCATTTGATACGAGATATCTCGAATAAGCTTAATCTTTGATTTCAAAATATGTCGAAATTATTTTTTTTATTACGATCGTATTATTTAGCGTTTACGTTTAGTAAGTTTTTTTTACAGATATAAAAATTATACCTGAAAAATAAATTAATTCTTATGTTTAAGCATTTTTACAAGCCTTTTGATAACTATATTAATTTTTTTATTATATATATCATATTATATAACATATTTTATTTCTTGATAAATGTTTGAATTTACATAAAAAATAATCTTTTTATTAATAACGTAAATATTTGTTAATCTATTGCGTAGTAATAGATTTTTTATAATGTTATAATGTCAAGCAAAACACATCAACTAACAAAATTAAAACATCCAGACTTCGAGACTGATTGGTCTATCACGAACATTCGTTATCATTATTTTATCAAGCAATCTTCATCAATATAGATATCGCCTGCTATTTACTAATTAATCGGTTATATTAAACGGACTCATATACACATGCAATATTAAGTATGGATAATTTATTTATTATTTATTAGAAAATATATATTCTATAATGTCATATAAGCCGTGTAATGATTATGTAATACAATAATTCAACAAGAAAACGATCCATATATTGTTATATAATTGTATGCAATAAAGTCATTATACACATAAATCGATTAATGAGTAATGCATTCAACATTGAATGGATAATCGCAGACCTGTACTTCAGGATTGAAGTGTAAACCTTCAGGACACTTCATCACAATCGGTCGGCCATAGTCACAAACAAAATAGTGATTACAGTTGGTGGGATGAGGGATGAGAACTATATCCTCCCCTTCTTTTGGCGCTGGGCAACGAATTTCTTGTGCTTGGGCATAAAACACGCCCAACAGGCACATCAAAAGTGCAACGGAGTATATAGCTAAAATATATTGAATCAATGAAAAAATGTAATGACAAATAATCATTTTATGAACGATCTTGAATTAATTGTAATTTTGTGCTATAAGTATAAAAATAAAAACGCGCGTGATATTAAAAAAAAAATGTGTATAATGATTATTGTTTTTATTAAAAGTTATATATTTAAGAAAAATGCGCAGAGAAATATAATATTATACTATATCTCTATATTATACTATCTATATTATATTACCCAACTTAGATAGAAAATATCAATTCATTTACGATATTTACAAAAAATATGTCCTACGTTTATCATGATACATTTTAGAGTACTTTACACAATAATAATTATATTCACTCATAAATTTGAAATTCGTAAAATTACGTCTCACTTGAACAACAAACTTACTTTTCATTTTGCTGCTTATTATTCCTTAGTTTACTCTTTATGCGAATCTTACTCTTACGCGAATTTACACCTGATTGTACGTTCGACTATCTAAAGCCTGTTTATATACCCGATTAATAGATCCTTTTTATCAGTCTAAATCACTCAATCGCTCCCTGTTCTGAGATTCAAATCCTTATCAGATACGCGTGTAATGATATCATGATAAACGGCTGCGACTCAATATTTCACATAACAATCGTGAATAGCGACAGTTTCGTGAAATCACGTCTAGGTTTGTTGTATATCACGTTCAGTCGAAATATTAAGGTGAATAAGGGTCGAGGTAAGCAAGTAAATGAGAAAAGAAAGGATTTATGAAGAGTAAAACGAAATGAACGAAGTGCAGGATGAGTGCAAGAGAGTAACGGAGAATGAGAGGAAGCGAGAAAGGAGAAGGATGCTAGCTGACACTCGGACAATGCTGGCGTGGTGCTGTCGCGTTCGGTTCCTGGTTATGGCGGGTGCACAATGCCTATTGTCGGGCAACCCACCATACAAACGTGTGTGCTGACGCTTTCACACAACGGCCAGCTCTAGCTCTCTACCTCTATCTCCTCTATCTTGTCTGTTCGCTCTCTCCGTCTCCGTACTTTCGTTTCTGCCAAAGACGAACACAAAATCTTCCTCCTCATCATTTCCTCATAAACTCGCGGCTTTCGACTAGACCAATAGGATATGTAAAGAATAGGATACATTTTTTCGAATAATATTATACGTAGTAGTACAAAATGAGCTCGAAACGATAAAGTAGAAAGATATAAAGGTAGGAAAATTATATTTGATAGTCGTCGTTTCCACGATACTGCATTTCTAAAATATCATCGTAAAATTGCAGTTGACATATATTTCAGTTTTTGCTGTTGCTATTATATAATGTAAAAATGTAAAGAATTACAAATTGCTAAATAAATTTATAACTTTTTATTTTATTATTTAAAAACACTGCATTAATTAACTATAAATAAATTTATGTTCTGTTAACGTAATCTAATATATTATAAATAAAATAAAAAGTTTTCCAAATTTTTTTTTTTTTAAACGCACTACCAATTTTTCATAAAAATTATATTTTATATATTATAATTATTTTATTTTTCAGAAATTACATATTAAACAACTTTTCCTTTCTAGTGTATAACTAAATTGCTGGTTATTTATTTAATTTATACAAAATATCTGAACACAAGCTAAAATAACAATATCGGTTGAATTGGTATCGTTATCTTAAGAACTAATGTCAATTTTATGTAGAGTATATCTACGTATATATCTATATAGAGTAATCGCATTATCAATACTCTTATTCACTATGATTACTTCACTTACTTTAATTAAATCAATCATTTTTTAAGATTACTTTCTATCTGACACATTAAATTTTATAAATCTTCTTTTAAATACTAATACAATTTTAATGATTCACTGTCATTGACTTAAATGAATTATTATTGACATCAATTACCACACATACTGCTATTATCATACACAAATATATTAGATTGAATAAGATGAGTTAAACACAGAAAAATAACTCATAAACGAATTTATAATTTCATCATAACGCTTTGAGTTGATAAAAAATTTAGTACAATTACATTTTGTTTTGTTTCGTATAAAAGCAGAAAATTTTTAACAATGAATTGTCATATTTGTATGCTAAAATAATAGATATATATATCCTGAAAAAATAAATATTTAAAATATAAAGAAAAAATCTTTTTGACAAATAAGAGGAAAGGTGAACTTCCGTTTTGTCATTTCGGCAAGATGTCTATAATTTGAATTCAATCGTTTGCAAATCACGACCTTGTTCGAGTCTTATTCTCGATTGTTCGGAACTGCGCGGAAATTGGGTTTCCTGTAGGAAATGAGACATTTCAGTTGACACGGAGGAACGATTGTTCGAAAATGGTTGGACGCCTACAAACGAAAAATATATCGTTTTCTTTGGACGTGCCAAAATTTTGATCAACTCTCAGTCATAAAGCTAGTTTAACGTATAAAAGTATATATTGCTTTGTTCGTGCTTCGATTTTAGATCAATTTCTGTCATTATTAAAAGAATAGTTATTGCAAACAATCTAATAAGTATATTTAATAAATATATACTATACAGCTGTCAATATTCATATAAAATAATTGTCAAAATAATTTTCAGATTATTAACCACTAAATTGCTGTCGGCCATAATGTTTAAAAATACTATGGCATGTAAAAATGTTAGCGTTAATATTTCTATTCTCTATCGGCTGGGTAAAGAAGAAAGAAAGAGAAGAAGAGAACTCGGTCTCCCATACTCGCCATATTGGCATACACGCCGCCTGCGTTTTACGGCCATATTCAGCGATTTTGCATATCGAGGCCAGACGTGTGTATGTGCGTACATTATAGGGCTGGGAAAAAAAAAAAGAGAGAAGGGAGGAAAAGAGACCCATCGCCGTCCTTTCTTCTCCAACGCCATCAGAACTGCTGCAAGCCCATTCACCTTTTCCACATCGATTCACATATATACGGCAATCGCAGACCTTCTTGAGAGCTCAATTTATCGCGGAACGGCCTCCGCTGCCGCATCGGTACAAAGCATGCTGGTGTGCGGGACGTATAACCCTCCTTCGGATCAAATTGTCATAATTGAATAACCAAAGAGATAAGCGAATTCTGCTTTGACTACAAGTGCGCTCGCGTAACTTTGGCAACGACCTCACCGTATACGGGTCGATTCATTTAACCCTGGAGTGCTTCGAGTCCACTTGGTGTTCAATTCTAAATTCTTCCCCTCGCCATGCCTACACGAATTCATTTTTACGATTGAGTCGATTAAACTGACCTATATGTTACATTCGGCATTTCATTTACCTTGATATTGGAATTGATTTATGGAAATTAAAAAAAAATGATTTTAATTTATGCAGTAGTTGAATGTAAAATCGCATATATTAAATGTTAAACTAAAAGACTAATTAATATTAAAAATTTGCCTAGTAAAATTTTATCAATTATAATGTAAAACAATATTCAAAACTAATTTAGACTGTTACATTTATATTATATGTAACAAAAATATTTTTAGAGAGTATGAGGAGGGATAAGCAACCTTAAAATTGTACGATTCATTCCGGCGATCAGAAAAGAAAGGCGGTATAAAAGAAACACTTGATGAAGCTGATGGAAAAGGTTGATACGAAATAAACGAGATCGGGTGGAAGCGGAGGATGCGGATATCGGGGATAGCTTTAACGGTCTTTTGTTTAGCTGACTCTGCCGTTCGCCGGCATGCCGATAATTGCCACAATGCGAGGATGAAAAGCTAGAAAAAGTAAGGTGCACCTGAAAATCAGAGAAAACGGCTAATCAAATGACAGGTTGATCATTAATTTTACTCTTGAGATTTGTAATATACAGGGTGACCCATTTTAACTTAGGCAGCCAAATAACTCGAAAACTAAATCCAATAGACAAAAATGTTTCAAATAAAAATGGAACGGTGTCGAGGGGGACACGTTTTAGTCACGTTGTTTTTTTCCTAAGTGGAGGCGCTGAAAAGATATGAAGGTCACCTCCACTTTTTTAAATGGAATCATGTAATTTTTTTTAGATAACGTGATTCCTCTAATTATTTTGCATATAAAAGTATTAAGGTAGAGATACCAAAAAACCAATAGTTTTCGAGATATTTTACACTTTATTTTGGTACATATTGACACAAAATGTTAAATAACTCGTAAACTGTTAACTTTTTGATTATCGTACCTTAATGCTTTTGTGAACAGAATAATGAGATAAATCAAATGGTGTAAAGAAAACACATAGTTGCTTTAAAAAAAATATGTATACAAAATGGATAATTTTTTAAATATGCAACTATGTGTTTTCTTTACACCATTTGATTTATCTCATTATTCTGTTCACAAAAGTATTAAGGTACGATAATCAAAAAGTTAACAGTTTACGAGTTATTTAACATTTTGTGTCAATATGTACCAAAATAAAGTGTAAAATATCTCGAAAACTATTGGTTTTTTGGTATCTCTACCTTAATACTTTTATATGCAAAATAATTAGAGGAATCACGTTATCTATAAAAAATTACATAATTCCATTTAAAAAAGTGGAGGTGACCTTCATATCTTTTTAGCGCCTCCACTTAGGAAAAAAACAACGTGACTAAAACGTGTCCCCCTCGATACCGTTCCATTTTTATTTGAAACATTTTTGTCTATTGGATTTAGTTTTCGAGTTATTTGGCTGCCTAAGTTAAAATGGGTCACCCTGTATATAGATACTTATATACATGTAGGTATACTTGTTGTGCATTTGGAATAAAATTATGTACTTTATAACATCGTTATTTTTATTTTTAACTTTCTCTAGAATGATTATAGGTATACATGTATAAAAAAGAAGAATTTTATCAGAAACTCGATAATGGTTTTTTCTATTGATAATTAGTCAATAAAAGATTCGAATTGAAACTAAGTGCATATTGGCATTCGTATTAGACAACCAGTTAGAAACTTGTTGCTGTGATTTACAATCATGGGGCAGGCAAATTGGGGAGCAGTCGGGAATATGTCATAGATTTGTGCCTATGAGAAGTGGTATTGCGAACACAATTGCTTCTGGCGCGAGGAACGTAACATGTGGTCACGCAATACCATTCTGATTGCGCTCATTACGGATTTATTAGATTCCATCTTTCTTTCTTATTTAATGCAATGTAAAAAGCAAAAATGTTAAATCCGTTTCGTAGTATACGAAGAAACTACATTTATAAAATGTATGCAACATACAAAAGAATTATTTTTTTAATAAATATTACATTTTTTAAACAAATAAATTTTTTAGGTTTTATAAAAGGTAAAATAACTTATTGTTAAATACATATATTCTTTTTAGGAAATTTTTTTACAAATATATTTTTTATTGTAATAATTATTATTATTGGCTAGATTGCCTAGATCTTCTTGGCACAATTACAAACTTTTTCTAATTAGATTTTTTATTTTTTAAAATAAAAAAGATAAAACCCGCTT